TCAGCCCCTAACCAGATCAGCTCAGTGGGTAGAGCGTCAGCATATGGGCTGAAGGGTACTTGGATCGATTCTGATCAAGCACACATGCCCGGAGTTGTGTGCTCGATATCCAGTAGGGGGGGTGCAGGCTCGGTTCTGTTGGAGAAGAGCACGGCATGAGGAAGTCTTTCAGATGCCTGGGTTCTGCTCTCCGCTCATTCAGACATCATTCCGCCTTCCTCTCCTTCCTCCTCATAGCACACCCCCCCCCCCCCCCGCCCCACTCGGTTATTGTTCAACGTTTGATCAGTGACAAAGCTGGTTACTGTGTGAGACTTTGATTTTGCCCACTGCCTGTTCCGTGTGCACGTCATCTTACATGGACTTGGATACAGCTGTTCCTAGTGCTGGGCACACCTTGCATCGGATGAGCGGAACCTCCTTCGCTGCTGTGGGTTCCACACTGCGCGCACCCTCTCGCCTGTGATTCCGCTTGGCTGGCATATACCACTCTTACGGCGAGCATTCTTCGCTGGTCTGTTCACTGGTGTACATATCCTCAGCACCCAGCGTATTGCTTGGCACTTGGTAGTTACACCGTACATCTTTATTGAATGGATTAAGTGCAGTGTAGGTATGGCCGTTGTCCGCATTTTGTAAGATGGGTAAACTGAGGCTTAGAGGGACTCACTTTCCCAAAGGCTGCTAAATAGTAGAGGCTTGGTGTTGCAACGGTTCATGGTGAGCTCTTTTCTTCACTCTGGTATCTCAATGTGCTGCTTTTGAGCAGGACACACTTAATATGTAGAGATTGGTAGGTTATACTGCTATTTCGTGATGGGTGAAGAGAGAACTGTTTCTGTAATGTGTCACTGAGGCATAAAATCTTTTTCACTCCTAGTTTCATGATTTTAATCTACTAGCTGCTTATGGTTATACCAAAATTAAATACAACTGTTTAACAACAGATCTTAAAGAGGATAAACCTGCCAAGAAAGTAAAAGTTAATCAGATGATCTTTTAGGAGAAAAGATACCTTAAAACATCTTGAAAGATTGATTCCTAGGTTAGACCTTGATAGGTTGCACTGCTGGGAGGTTAGCTGGGAGATAGAAACATCAGTGATGAGAGAGAATCGCTGATGAGCTGCCTCCTGCACGCCCCTACGGGGGATTGAGCCTGCAACCAGGGCATATGCCCTGACCGGGAATGGAAACCTGACCTGGCTCATAGGTCGATGCTTGACCACTGAGCCACACCGGCCAGGCTCATGAGTTTTGAGTTGAGATTTAGGTAGGAGATCAGAATGGAAACATGAATAATGTTTAAGAATTATACCAGCTTGCATTAAGTAACAAGGATTTGTTGTAGAGAGTCCTTTATGATAGTGTTTTCTCTGCTAAGCTAAATAGTAGGAGAATAAAGGTGAAAAAAGCAAAGAGCTAGAACATCCAAATGAGGGTATTCCTTTCTGAGCTGAGGGATTTACTCTTATCAAGTCAACTGACAGAGACCCTGTAGAACAAGCATATCAAACTGAAAGGCTAACATGGGCCAAATAGACAAGGTTTAAGTTGATGTGGGCCGCAAAAACACAAAAGCTTCAATTTTCATAGAAACGTAGGTTTATTTCGATAGAGACATGCTGAATACAAAAGGCTGAAATAAATGAGTAATCGTTAACATAAAATAATAGAACATTTTAATAAAAATTAATATTTTTTCTTGAACATTAACTTACCAGACACTGAATAACTGCACAAATTAATAAGCGTAACACAAATAAACCTATTTTTCTTGTTCTCCGAAACCAAAATATTTCCTGTTGCGCACACCAAACAAATCAGTACAAGACCAATGATGTGGCAGTTGACTGTTCAAATATTCGCTGCTAGTATTAATGGAGAGAAATGGTGCGCCTGCGCGTAAGGCACGTAAAGGAAATGAATGCAATACGATTATAGTAATCAGTCATTAGCGAACATTGTAGTTCGTTATTATGTATAACAGGATATTGTAAAAATTAAGTTATGAAATTTTTATTAAAAAGTTTCTTACATACCGTTATATTGGCTGGGCCACAGAAATATTTGTTGTGGACCACATGTGGCCCGCGAGTTTGACATGCTTGCTGTAGGACATGAGAGAAAATTATCTGGATATAGAATTCTCACTGGGATGAATATGAGTTCAAAGAAATGTGACCAGCTCTTTGCCGCATCTGCTGCGAGGATGAAGACCATTCTCAGCAGTCAGACTGTGGACATCACTCCGAAGGGACGTACAGTTATTGTGAAGGGCCCCAGAGGCACCCTGTGGAGGGACTTCAATCAAATCAATGTAGAGCTCAGTCTCCTTGGAAAGAAAAAGAGAGGTTCTGGGTTGACAAGTGGTGGGGGATAGAAAGGAATTGGCCACAGTTCGCACTATCTGC